CCAGCCGGCAGAAGGGAGGGGGCACCGAGATGTTTCTCTGCTGGGCTCTGGGGTCTCGTGTCCCTGGCGCTGCCTCTGGGCCCCTGGGAGGTGAATGCCGCCGGCGTCTCCAGTCGGACCCCAGGTCGCTCGGTCGCTGGGGACTCTGCAGTGTGTGGGTGGCTCAGCCGTGCTGCGTATTCGGTGTGTTGCGGTGGTGCTGGGAGCCCAGCCAGGGAGCAGGCCCCCTTGCGCCGGGGGCTGCACAGACACAGAACTCGGAGATGGGCCCTGCCCCGAGGAGCTCACACGCCCCGGGCTGTGGGTCGTTCCAGACGCCCCGGCTAGACGGTCCCTGTCTGGGCAGCTGGGGGCGCTGGACGGCGCGGTGAGAGCAGGGGGCGCCCGGCGGCTGGGGGCTCTGGTGGGAACGTTGCTCTCTGGGCTGGCGTCACTCTGCCCTCAGTGGCTGCTGCCCCCTTTACGCCTGGTCAGTGCCCAGCCCTGGGTCTTTCTGCCCCTGCCCCAGCACAGGCCCTGGGACCCGGTACACGGGGGGACGGGGCCAATAGCGCTGGGAAAATAGCGAGAGCCGCACGTGGCCCTGATGATTCTTGTTACAGCTGCAGGTCTGTCGTGGTGGAAGAGAGTCACAGCCCGATTTTCCTGTGCCCGTGACTCACCCAGCAGCTGCAACTCCTGTCCCACCGTGTCCCCGCTCAGTCCCAGGGACACAGGAGCTGCTGCTGACCAGGGTGAGTGCGAGGCCGGCTCCCTTTCCAGCTCCCCGCCCTGGCGGAGCGTGCTGCTGCGTGTGGTCGGCGCCCCTGGCTTTGTCAGGGCATTTTTAAATCCCCCCCCCCATTCCCAACTTCCACTAAACTCACCACGTGTGAGCGGTGCCTAGGAGGGACCACACTGAGAATGCCACACACAGGGCAGACTGCAAGAAGCAGGGCAGACCCACCCCCCCAAAGATTGGCAGTTTGTTCTTTAATTAGATTCACCCAACCAGTACCAAAATGAGCGTCTGCAGCCCCCCACTGGTTAACCAGAAGCCAAACACAGCCCCCGTTAGACACCCCAGCCCCTGGCTCCCGGCCAGGCAAACAGGGCTCATCTAGTGAGAGGTGACTGAAAACCCAGTTCACCACACAGGAGGTTCTTCCAATCCCAAAGGATCAGACTGTGA